TTATCATACTCAGCGGTGCACTAGCCCTGAGATGGCACCTTAGGATGACGGATGGATACGAGTTCCTCCCGCGGAATATATCATTCCGATTTCGAGAAATCGCAGGCTGGTCGAGAACTACGGTGATTCGCCCATTTGGCTTAGCAGATTTAGCTTCCGTCGGTTCGCATGCTCGAGCTGGGAGTCTACCGTCGTCTTACCTCGCTCGCTCACAGAATAAACTCCTTCCGGATTGAATTATTATGACACGGAGATTATGCCGATGAGCCCAACCGCCTTTCGGGAATGCAGCCCTCGGTTCGTAGAAGCCCTTTCATGACGAATTCTCCTCCACAAATCTTTCTTCAGTGGTTTCTCGAACCCTTCCCGGACTTTACTCTCCCTCGTCAGTGTTTCTCATCGCGTTGTTCCCTTGAGGCGAAATATAGCTCTGGCTTATGGATATCCATAAGAGGCGAACGAGCCAAGGTTCCGACAATGGTCAGGTTCAACTCTAGAAAAAAATGACGTCGTCCCGTTGAGTGATGATGCCTATAGCCGACACCTGGCTCCAGAGCATAATCATCGTTTCGCAGCGGACGATCGGCAGAAAAACTCTTGACGAAGCCCCGCGGCTCCATCGACAGCTTCCTTACATCGGTCCTTATAACTTGAGCGAGGCTGTCAGAAAATTGAGAAAATCACAAAGTATAGGATCAATATTGAGGAAGCAAACGGACGGATCGACAGCTGAAGCGAGAGATTCGCACCGGCGTCCATCTCGTCGGGCAGAATCTGGCCGAGGAATCAATAGTTGTAACTTCATCCAATTACGTTTGTGAATCGGGTTCTTTTGTATCGAAGACCCGGGGCAGCTCTCTCAGCTCCGGCTTTCTGCGAAAGCGATTGATAAATAAAGCAGCAATAAAACTAATCACAACCTTACCCCGAAGAGAAGAACAGTTCATCGGGAGTTCCGAGCAGCAAGGCATTTCGGTGCGGCGACGACCGAGATACGAGTCGAACCGAATGACTTATTACTCGACCCAAAGCAGATGGTGTCATTGCTGTTCAATCGGCGGCCGATGGCGGGATACATGAGATCTGGTTAGAGATGCTCCTTTTGCGCCGTCAGCTACATTCATCGATAGAGTTATCGAGTCCGACAGTCGTTCGCACGACCAATCGGTCAGCCAGCTTCCGTGCTATCGATATATCGTGCTAGCTCATGTAAGACGTCCCCTGACACAGAGGGTATCTTATCGTGATGCATCGAGGTGATAGTCGCTCACAGTCAGCCAATTCTGTTCGGCCGTGAGGCTTCGCTTTGGCTATAAAGGAAAAAAAAACGTCAGAAGGATCTGCGATGAGAATCTGATGATTTGATGAGGGCTGGTGCTACGGAAATTATAGCAGAAAAATCGATCCGGCTCCTCTAGCGGCCCGCGCCGTCCGAGTCTATCAGTTCCTATTGGGACTCCACTCGCGGTTTATTCGGGAGTTGAGAGCTCCCGGGATTCCCATAACTCATAACAAAAAAAATACCCGTTTGAGGAGTTTCCTTTAAAGTTCTTCCGTGGGGGAAGACAGCCGAAGATTCGGAAAATTGAACGAATTTTTTGGCGGAAATTCCACCAAACTATGTATGATCTCTCTCATTGAGCCGGGGAAGTCCAAAGTCACGGGCAGAGCTCCGTGTCGGGATTCGGGATCATAGCGGCCTGGGGTCTGCGGGCAGACGGACGCTCGCCGCCACTCACGTCTGGTGCATGATGAGGTTTTTTGTGTTTCTTGTTTGGTTCTGCGTTGCGGCAAAGGAAGCGGAGGAAGCGGGAGAGACATCTGTCAGATGCTCAACTCTCAGTTGTCTGCTGTGTCTTGAGAACGAGTCGTGTCAGTTTGACTTAGCGACGACGACGCACGCGTCACTTAAGCCGCCAGGAGCTCCGGTGAGCCTCGAACCTCACTGAACAGCTCAATCTCAGCGACAGGGGTCTGAGAGTTTTGATGCTCTTTGATTTAAGGTAGCCATTTTTTCTCCGCTTCTCCTGCGGTCGGCAGACCGACTCGCCGTTCTATCGGTCTTATTCCCCCACTTCCTCACCGAAATGTTGGGTCACCAACCCGCCCGCCGAATTAAGTCAATCTTTCAACGTCATCATCATGGTCGAATGGGATTCCCAGCATTGGATCTAGACGGCATCTCGAGACGCTTTCATCTTTATGTCATTTCAAATCTCGTAACCGTCACATCCCACTTATTTTTCCTTTCTGCCGATTTCAATCTCTACGGCGCGTTCTTTCCCATCGTCGATCGCTCCTAATGCAATCGCCGATTCCCTACCGCGATGGTCACGTTTTTCGTTTCGTCGGTCGCTGTCCGATACGGAGGAAGTAGGCGGCACAAGACTCTTTATTCAGTAGACAAGAATCTCCAGGCGACCGCTATCTCTATATCTTCGGGAAGCAGAACTCCTGACCTCATGGTACTTGACGGGAGCTCTCGATCGATTCAATCGAGCTCCGGCCTTTCCCGAGTCGCTCTGATTCGACTCTGCTCCGCTCCGGCTGTCGATATGTACCTCCCGATCTGAGGCCAGAATATTTCTCGTCTTCCCCATTCGATGCGACGCGTTTTGAATCCGCCCTCCATGGAAACGCTGATTCCTCGCCCCGCTCACCGCAAGGTTTCATTCGCGCCTTCGTCGATATTTCGTGTGTATCCTCGAAGAGGCGCTATGAATGATCAGTTAGGGAATTCATTAACGTTCATTGAGTGCAGGCCGCTCTCGCCGGCGTGGCTGCTTGATTCTACCGAGTCGAGCCCAGCCCTACCGCAGTGTAAAAAGGATCTTCTTTTTTGTCGAGTTCAATTGGCGCTCGAGAAAAAAAACAGTATTTTTGGTACCTAAAGCAAAATTTGTCGACAAGCAGATTGTTGGACCACCCGAGCTTATTGTCATTCCTAATCAAGCCGAGCAGTTGACATTTCGTTCCTTCGCGGTCTTCCTACGGCTTTATTAGACCGGCATCCACTCGAGCGCGCACAAGAACCGAGCAGGGCAGGGATGTCTCTCTTGAATAGCGACAGTTCATCGACCGACTCTCGGTCCGATACTCAGCCGTTTCAAGGTGCTCGCTCGCTTACATAAGCAACGTCTGATATAAAACCTACGCGAAAAACCCTCACTGTTGCGCGGGCGAGCGAAGACGCTCGGAACAAACGAGCGTGCATAGTGTGAACGTCGCATTTCCGAGGCACCTCGGGAGGACGTTTTTATCTGAACTTCATTTTCGGTTTAGAGTCGGAGTGGTTGAAGTGGTACGGGACGGGGTAGCTGTCGTTTCGAACAAAAACACCGAGGACCCTCTGCAAGAAACCTCTATGTACAATGGCGATTTCGCTTATTGCGCTCCCTGACTTTCGAGAGACGCAGAGGAGTACTAAGTACGCAGCCAATTGAAAAACACGACGCTCCCCAATTGTGATAACAAAAACAGTTCAGACTCGTTCCTAGTATCCGTCTCCCGACCGCCGGTTGAGCAATAAAAACCAGGGCCCCAGCGGCGAAACAACGGGACACGAATCGATCGCTCTGCGAAGTCATTTCCCGACAGGATGTAATCACTGATAGGTTTATTTTACTTTTTCCAGGTGAGTTTCAAGTTGAGACTGAATCCCGTTGCTGAGGCTAAAAGGGATCTCTGAGACCTCGATCACTCCGCCCTTCTCTCGCGAATCAGAAACTCGCCAGCAAGCGTCGATCATGGAACTCCGCTAGGGGGAAAATCTGAAACATCAGATTTGACAAGAGGATCCCGTTTCGAACGGCGGAGTCGACTCGGGAGTTCTAGAACTCACCTCACAAGGCTCACAGAGCCTTTCCATGTTAGCAGAGTATCCGGAGAAGACATTGCCCTCTCATTTTCCTCAGTCCCAATTATTATCGTACGGTGTACGGCCCGTCATGGTCCTCCGCTCTTGCCCCTACGTCTACTCCCCATAGCTCACTCGCCCCCCCCCAGTACAGAAACTCGGATGCACTCCCGCTCATTGATCGAGCTGACTGAATAATTGAGGGCGAAGGCAGCCGATTGAGGACTGATGAGCACGGCTCCCTGGTGGAACGCATATGTCCGAGCGATGTACTCGATTCCAATTCGGACAGATAAATGCAATGCGACTTCTTTTTCTGCATTCCCTCGGAGAGGGCTCCCAGTCGTCCAGAATTGAAGTCTGTCGTACGAAGAACACAGATTAGAAATGCGAAACCTCAGTTAGCAATAGGTAGAGGAACGGAGCGCAATCCTTCCTATAGGTTCAGAAGTTCTAAGGAAAACAAGTTCTCCAGCTTGGATAGGACCGCCATATGAACGGATCCCCCAGCCTGAGGCGCATTTGATGCGGGTGCCATCCACAACTCAACGACCTGAAGGTTCGTCACATGTTGGCAGGATGATGGTTCCGTGGTTTGTTTTTCTGATTGTTCTCCGGCAGGCGCGCACGATTTTACCTCCGCGGTTGAAACTCACTCCGGTCTATCCGCTAATCTTCGACACATCAACGATCCTACATCTATTCCTCCGATAGCCTGCCATGATCACTTGTGTGATACGCTTTAGATTGTTTGTATAGAGAGGAGCGTTTACGCATCGAGTTAATTGAGTTTCTACGTAGATGTCCCGAGAGCGACGCACAACACGACGCTTCGCAAGCACCGCCTGGGTATGGCTTCCACGATGATTGTTGTCTCCCAAGTTCACTTCAGAGCTCCGCTCTCCCTCCGAGTTCGATCCGCCAATCTTTTGACGAATCGTCAGAGTATCCGATCCGTCCCGAGAAGGCTCTCTGTCTTAAAAACACCCATACGCGGCGAGACATTGGTCTGGAATGTGTCTTGAGATGGAATGATTCTTTGCGCGAATCCTGCCATACTGGTCTCTGTGTCCTCAGACCATAGAGGCTCAGTCTGACCACATGAGCTTTCCGATCTTTCGATTAATATTTTTTTCCCCACCAGATACCATCGTTGATTTCGAAAAGCGAGGTAAAGTCAATAGAACGTTTCGTGTGCGAGTCGAGTGTTTCCATTGTGTGATCACCTTAGAACCTATTCTCGCGTAATGAGATCCCCCTTCGCCACCCGTGACTTGAGTAACCCGAGTGTCTTCCATTTCGACAAAGACTCGGACCCGAGGCCGAGAAGATCGGAGATTCCGAAAGTGCGGTATACCGGGTCAGAATCCGGCCAAGGATCTAGTCTGTCATGATGGGAGAGAGGAGAAGCGGTATATCTCATTGGACAGAGTACGCAGAATTGGGAAATCGAGGACACCGGGGTTCCCGGAGAGTTTCTGAGAAATCGGAACTCGAGCGGGCTCCACAGGTTCGACCTCGAGCCTCCTGGAGCCTGGCACAACTCTCGCATGAAGTTCCTCCAGCGCACGATCGAATCTCACAAAACCATGATTCCCCCGTGCATGAAGATGATTGGGATGGTAAACTTTCAGCGGCTTAAGTCAGTTCTCCGCTCCTCAGATTGTGATGCCATGATGCTTTGCAACCTCACGGAGGCAGTTCCGGGTAGTGATGTGAAATTCAATGAGTTCCAACGAGAAGAGAAAATTCGAGTTTGCAGGTGAGTCACCGTTGCTTCCAGAAGCTCGACATGAGAAGAGAAAAAGCGTCAATAAGAGGAAGAAGAGATGAACATCCGATTTCCTTCTTTGTAGATCACTGAAAAGTTCACATGACTGCTCGACACTGTACTCCTGTAAGCGGATGGCGAAATTCGTCGTTCTCGTCGACCGTTTCTACAACGTCGTCTGCAAAAAAATCCGTGAGTATGACGCTAATCTGATGCTGTATATCGGAAACAGGTTTGGGTCGAGATCCGGTACTGGTCTCGGGTCCCGGAGACAGAGAGACATGTTGATACATTCGTCCCTTTCTTCACAGTGACGGACAACGGCATTTCCACCGAGAACTGCTACAAAAGCGCTCATTTGAAAGCTGTCAGCAAGTGTTCGAATCATCTGGCGAAAATGAAGAGCCTAGCCTACGAAACCGAAGGGAAAGAGGCAGTCCGCGTCGCTTGCTGGTGAGTGATTCTAATCACGCCTTCGGAGTCACGCCTCCCCTTAATGTCTGTGCCGCTGAGCAGTAGACGGAAGCGGAAGGGAGATTTTCGGAAAAGACACCCCGAGACAGAGCAACGAGAGCAGTCCGAATCACACGGTTCTCTCCGATCGACGGGTCGTCCGAGATACTTCGAACAATAACAACAGGTGTTGAAGCCTCACTCCAACACGTTGTGGAAGCGATACCGCGGTCACCTCGCGATCTCGGAGACAAAGTGACGACATTCGACTGGCGCTTGGTCTGGAGCGTTGGGCAAGGAAGCTTTCCCGCGCCTCCAAGCGAGGCCTCCTTGAATCATTTTTCTCATGGTTCCAGCCGGGCGAAGCTCGAGAGGGTAGGCCTATAGAATCGTCAGTGAGTTTTCCTTCCAGTCTCGAATTAGACACCCTTGCGTGGTTGGACACGAATGGCTAATTTCTACTACGACCGGACGAAGCTTGCCGACGGAAAAAAAACTTCAATCTCGGAAAAAAAATCGATACGCCCAGTGGAGGGAAGCAAACTAGCTGAGACTTGCCTATTTCACTTTACAGCGAACATCACAATTATTCGAACTGCTACCGCGACGAAGTCTCTTCGGCGTGCAGCATGGATCGCTCTTCCGTCGTCGTTCAGCCCGATCCGAATTTCGATCGATTCTGCCATCAGTGGACCCCGAAGCAGTGCAGAGAACAACGCGACCTCAAGCCCAACTCGATGGGCGTTTCTAGTTCCGAGAGCATCCGCAGCGGAATAATTCCGGTAGTAATCGCGTTACTTGGAGTCTGCGTTGTCGGGAGACACTAGAAGGGGCAGGAGCAAACGAAGGAGAAGAAGAAAACAAATTAGGAACCCTGGATCCGAAGCCAAGTCGAAGTCGAACACTAGTCGATCACGTTAAGAGCTCTTGGTGAGGTTCGGGTTCGCGTATTCGGCTACCGAACCTTGGTCCAGCTATAATTGCTGTAAGGAACTCCAACACATCATGAAAGACCCCTTGGGAACTAGTCTGGTCTTCCCTGGAAGCTGTGAACCCAGAAATCTGGGCCCGCAGTCAAACCTTTTTGTATCGCTGACAACAACTAACGTGACCGCGGAGAAGCGTACGACAGCGTTCGTTTCTGAACGCTCTGTAGATACTTCCTTTGGAATTCGCCGGTATATGAAAAGCTATTTAATGTAAAATGTTACAATCTATTGTTGCTAGCTACTCGACGAAAGGCGCGGAGCGTTGACCATTTGTCGGCTTCTCGCTGGGTCAGATCGACTTTCTACAATTTCCGCACGTAGTACTACTCGCCCTAATTATCCTGTACAGAATCGGAGCGCGCGAAAGTCGTCGGCCAATCAATCTGCCACTCAGCCCATTCGTGACTCTCGATGATGAAGCAGAGCTTTCAGACGGCAATTCCGACGTGCGTCATGCGTGACTGCATTTGGAGTCTTTCAGGAGAACGGTTCTCGAGCGGACACGCAGTGAGGAAAAACCTCCAATCTTGACTTTTATCCCGTGGAATCGAGAACGGACGGCGAGTCAATCGGCGGAAAATTGATTTCATCCCTTGCTGATAACGCAGCGCTCTTATTGCGAAATCACTGTCAGACCGATCGGGTAAGAACTACGACTTCCGCGCGCGAAAAATTGCTGACCCATCAATCAGTTGTTCCGACGACAGAAGGATCGCTTTTGTTTAAAGTTGGAGTCGACGATATCAATCCCCCCACTCTGTTTGATGTTCTTAACGATTCACTACGAATCCAACCTGATTAGAAGCGAGAAAACTCGGGATCCTCGTGAGAATTGAGTGGACTCTGATTTTAAAAAAGAGTATGAAGAACACTGACGGGTCCTCTCGCGGGAGTGTTCTGTTATGTTTTTTTCTTTCCCGGAGATTGAAGCTGACGAGACAGGAGAGTACATATGATACGATAATAATATTTCCCGACGGAAGCGTGTAAGAACAGAGCGAAGAGATGAGCGAATCCACAGTGTAGATCAACCGATGGAGTAGCGTACGCATATAGAGTGATTAGTTCATGCTCTTTACGAAAATATTCCGACCTTGTTGAATGTGCCACATCGAAATAAACGAAATTTGATTGATAACAAATCAACCGAAACTTGAGCGGAATTTTCATTCGTTCTCAATAGATATGCGGCGCGGCGCCCGATTCTTTCTATCAAGCCTTCCGCAGCCGAGAATTCGTCGAGTCTGAGCGATCGTCAGGTTGACTCCAATAGTTGGTGGTATTCGTTGAAGATGACGACCAAGAAGACAACTGTCATTCAAGAGTTCGCCTGGCCGACTTGCCGGAAGAGACGGTCTCTCAGTCAAAAATGAAACGATCGACCCACTCACTCAGTTACACTCTTCTCGGTGCGCTTCATTCTGCTAAGATGGTCCCGATGCGAATCATGATCAAAGAGAACCGTACAAATGCCCAGAAAGATGGGAGAAAAAAACAACTCTGATTCCCGTGCAAGGCGGCGACATCAAAAATGCATTAACGCGCTACGTCGTCATCAGAAGGTCTTCATTTAGTTTGATTTTCAGGAGTTGTCGATCCCCGTGCTCACTCTCTAGGTGAACCGCTGAAACGAGAAGGCTTCGCATGGAGGAGAAACCTCGGCTTGAGCCTTGTCTCGCCTCAGACACCATTCTTTTGGGTGATTCCGGTTAGCTCATTTTCATGATAAGCGGAATCAAATCTCACCGGAACTTTGCGAGCGCTTTCGGATCGAGCGGCGTTGCTCTCAGGAAGGGCGGAAACTACATTTTTCTTTACAGCTAGATCTCGTTCGCATTCTTTCGGTCTTCCTCTATGCACTCACGTAGCAGCTTCTAAGCAGACACTCCGTCAATTTAATGGGACGAGGAATACTCGATCACATAGAATAGTGGCGGCGTTGACAGGAGGCGATGCTACAGCTCGCTTTTCGGAGCAACACGGGATATCCTTTCGGAGTCTTCCTTCCTCAGTTCTTCGTTCTCTCGATGGAGTATTGGTTGGAGTTTTTCCGCATGGTCAGCGTCTCCGGGGAAATTAAGTTCACAATGACCTGTATGGGGTCTCCCACGATCCGATCCCAGAATCATTCCTACGTGTCGTCTTACGGAGGAGAGAACCAGGGAGCATCCTTGAGACACCCCTCCTCAATGGAGACAATTCGCTTCAGTTGTCATCCAATGATGGTCAGAGCAGCTCGAATGTCAAAATGGGCTTGTCTACGCAGCCGATTGTTGAATAGTTAAAATTGTCGCAGTCTCCGCTGGGCAATCGATCTGTCTTCCAGCTCTATGCGGAGCCGCTCGGAAGAGTATGATTCAATATGTGTCATTGCGAACTATCAGCTGGTCTCACTTCTCGAATGGCCCACATGCCAGCATTTTTTATCGAGACCTCTCAGAGGTTGAATGGAATCCTTGGCTCGAGTGTCTGCTGTGTTTTATCGGGCTGTTTGAATAGCCGCTTGTTTATGAGAGCATCGAACACGTCTGAATGGGGAAAGATGCCTTCTGAATAACCGCGAATGGTAGTAGATTCCAGCATGGAGAAGGGAAAGAGCAGGATCGGGAAAGTATCCCTAAACGGCAGACGAATTATTCATGGATTCGGGGGGCGCCGTCGCGGCTCCCTGCCGAGCCGATCCGGGAGATGCCTCCAATGCGACTGCTGGAATGGTGCGAGCGAATCGACATGACCACGCACCGTGAACCTCGCGAATATTGATATCAGCAACAAAAACATCGAGGTTCTGAGGAGCGATGCTGCTCCCCGTTCAGACCACAGTGGTCTTCCCCCAGGAATCGGAGCACCAATCTCCCGCAAGATACAACGTCAATGTGTTGAGCGCAAATCTAGCTGAGATGTGCCCACCACTGCGATCGTAATCGGGTACTGATGCTTGCGAAGTTTTTGAACTGAAGGAAATGGAATACTTCCCGTCGTCTTCCATCACAAACTTTGTACATACTATGTCCCCATTGCGAACTTTATATATCCGCCGCGAAGCACCCACAACGAGCTCATTGAGCCTATTCCCATGAGCCCGGATGAGCTGAGGAAGCAGAATAGAGCCCGTGGAGGCGGTTGAACAACCTGATGAATGTTTGAGCTCGCTTTCTGGGAATTCAACAAGAATAATAATTAGAGGAGGGCACCGAGGATGCTACGGATGAGAGATAATGACAGAGAAGTCCTACAACAGGATATTCCCGCCTACCCCACGCGCGTAACGACGACTTCATTGCAAATCGACGTGAACTCAGCACCGATCCGATCGAGCGAGTTCTCGACCAGTTCGTCTGCTCAGAACGGGCAGAGATACAGAAGGCGCCCTGTCGAGAGTCTGTGTACCTTCGGCCACAGGACCAGTCAAGATGCCGCGGAAAAACGTGAGACACCTTACCACTTTAGGAGAAGGAAAATCTCGTGAACGCAAAACAATTCACCCCTGGAATGGAAGGGATCATATGATATTCGCATGTGGAAGCCCGAGATAGATGCGTTCCGAAGCTTGCCCATCCACCTCAAAACTCCCCGGTGAGCATTCATCGGGCAAGACACGACGGACTCCGGAGCTCTGCGAAGAAATTGCAAACGTAGTGATGGGCACTGAGTGAGGTGGAGGGCAAACGCTCATCAGCTCCCTTCGAGTTGCCCCTAAGCAGAGTTTCCTACAATCGATCCAAGCTCGCTTCAGCTTTTGCAGCTCGGCGGTCATGTCTCCGATTCGAAGACTTATGATCATTATCACCGAAGGTTTTGTTTCGAGACCCGAGGCCGGCACACTTGATGTGCGATTATCTCGACAATTGAGCGTCATGCGGCAACTCACTGGCGTATGGCAGATCGACAAACGGTAGAGCTACGGAAAAAGTGGGAGACGCTCAAACACCCTAGCCGAGGCTCTTGAGAATACTGGCTTCTGATTTCTATGATGATCTATCGTGCGCATTGCACCGTTTACCATGGTATGGTGAAAGCCTCTGCATTAGCTCCCGGCCGACCACTCCTTACTGGCTGGTCAATCGATGGATACGCTGAAGCAGATTGCATTCGAGCAAAACGACGTATGAGGTCAGACGTTTTTTCGGATCTGAGTCGACACCGAAGGGCAGCTCGCTAGAGAGCTGAATTCGAGGCAAACGCGAGCAAACATCAAGAGAGTTAATATTAGCCTGTAGGGAAAATTCTCTTGTTTTAGGTGTCGGTCGGTGCGGCTTTTGTCTGAGTGACTGTCTCTTGTCGAACTTTGACATCGACAAGAGGAACTGCCTGCGAAAAGGTCTCCGCTTCTATGCGTGTTTTGCTTGCTCAGAGACACTTCTTTCGGTCGAGTCCTTTGTGATCCCTTGTCGTTTTTTTAGCGGAGGCATCTTTTATTTTTAGGTGACCGCGCCGCACACGGTGAGATCGGCTGACATGAGGGCTCAGAGCAGGGGTTCCGAGGCGCGGAACGCTCTTTCAGATGGGGTTTTCAGGCGAGTGAATCTGGGCACCTCTCGGAGAGCTTCGGCGAGGTTTCCAGCGAGGTGCTCAAACCTATTCGCAATAGGGTCGGCTGCGCTCCAGGCAAAGAAAGTCTCGTGAACTTCGTCGTCAGATGTTATAAATCTTCGCTGATGTTCAGGGCGTTCGATTATGATCATATGCGCTCTCGAGTCCGGAAATCTCAGGGGAGTTCCGCGGCCTGGACGGAAGTGCGAGCTCGAGACCGAGCGGACAGCGACAGCCGACCACTGAGATGTGCCTCCGCCCCCTCCCACGGATTCAGGATTCGCGCGGAAACGAGTCGGAATTATGGACAAAGTGAGTACGAGAAGGGCAGGGCAGGTTACCGATATGTTGGCATAATCGAATGCATCAGTCAGAACGTCGATATGCTCGGATTGGGGTCGAGATCCGCGCGCTCAAAGCACGAGAGTAGGGAAATCCAGTGATTCAATGGAAATTTTCGCACTCTACGGGATAAAAGTTCGGAGCACTGGTCAAGTATCTCTAAAGAGCTGATTGCGCTCCACTCGAGCTTGCGCGAACTTCCCCATTCCAACCTCGAACATTCACTCATTGGAGGTTCGTCTCCAACGCGAGTCATTCAGACGTTCCCAGTCAGAGAGCCTTTGCTCTCGACTCGTTCCGCCCCGATCCCTGGCACAGCTATACCGACGAGCGTTTTGAATCAAAGGCTTCTCGAGAACTCCTCGCGGACATAGGAGGTATTCATGTCAGACCCATCTCGATAAA